ATGAGAAAGCATTGCTAAAAGGAATTAAAGGAGACAAATATAGAACAGAATCCAGTGTTCATGGACAAGTTGGAGAAGTTGATATTGTTATTATCCAAAGTGAGCTACTGATTTAATGCATCCCTATCAAAATCCCAGTGTCATTTTTTCCAGAAACAGAAAAATCTATCCTAAAATTCATATTGGGATCTCAAGAGACCTCAAGTAGCCAACAAAACAAAACAAAAACAGACTTGGAAAAAGAACAAGTTTGAGGACATCACAGTTCCTGATTACCACAAAAATACAGTAATCAAGATAGTGATGCTGCTTTAAGACAGACATATAAACCATAGAATAGGATGAACAGCCCATAAGTGAGCCCTTGCAAAGATGGTGAAATGACTTTTGACAAGGGAGCCAAGACAGTCTTTTCATGAAATGCTTGGAAAAGTAGATATCCACTCAGGGAAATAACGAACAAAGTTTGACCTGTACTAACACAAGAATTAGCTCAAAATGGATCAAAGATGTAACAGCTCAAACTAAAAAACTCTTAGAACAAACAAAAGCTTTGTAACATTGGATCTGTCAGTGATTCATTGGCTATGACACCAAAGGCACAGTTAGCAAGTCAGCAAATTTGACTTCATGAAATTTTAAAATTTTGTGTATCAAAGGTCATTGTCAAGAGTAAAAAGGCAACCTATAGAATGGGAGAAAATATTTGCAAACCACGTATCTGATAAAGGATTAATATCCAGATTTTATGACAACTCCTAAACTGAACAACAACAATAACAACAACAAAAAAATCCAGTCTGACTACAAAATGACCTTGAATAGACATTTCTCCAAGGAAGATGTAGAATGGCCAATAAGCCGTGTCAAGATGCTCAGCCTCACTGATCATCAGGGAAATACAAATCAAAACCCAGTGAGATACCATCTCACACCCATCAAGATGGCTGCCATTGAAACAACAGGAAACCATGTGCAGAAAATTCGAAGATGGAGGAACTGGACACCTCCATGCACTGTTGGTGGAAATGTAAAATGGTGTAGTCACTGTGGAAAACAGTATGCTGGTTCCTCACAAAATTAAAAATAGAATTGCTGTATGACCCAGCAATTCCACATCTAGATCTGTACCCCCAAAGACTTGAAGCAGGATATGGAAGAGATGTTGCACACCCATGTCCATCACATTATTCACAGTGGCCCCAATGCAGAAGCAACCCAAGTGTCCATTAATGGATGGATGGATAATGGGTGGATAAGCAGTGTGTGTCCACACAGCGGAATATCACTCGGCCTTTTTTTTTTTTTTAATATTTTTTATTTATTTCTAGGAGAGAGAGAGAGACAGCGTGAGCAGGGGAGGGTCAGAGAGAGAGGGAGTCACAGACTGAAACAGGCTCCAGGCTCTGAGCTGGCAGTCAGCACAGAGCCCGACGCAGGGCTCGAACCCACGAACCGCGGGATCATGACCTAAGCGAAAGTCGGACGCTCAACCGGCTAAGCCACCCAGGCGCCCCTCACTCGGCCTTTTAAAAGGAACTTCTGGCACCTGCTACTACATGGACAAACCTTGAGGACATGATGTTCAGCTCAATAAGCTGGTCACAAGAAAGGCAAGTACTGTAGGATTCCATTCATGTGAGTTGCTTGCAGTGACCAGAATGGGACAGATAGAAAAGCAGAACAGTGGTTGCCACGGGCTGGGGGAGTGGGAGTTTAGCAGGGACAGGATTTCATCTTCACAGGATGGACAGTGTAGGCAGATGCACAACAGTGCGAACGTACATAATACACTGAACTGTGGGCTTACAGATGGGTAAAATGAAACTTTATGTGTCTTGTTTTTAATTTTTAAGAAATGTTAATTTTTGAGAGAGAGAGAGAGAGGTAGAGTGTGAGCAGGGGAGAGGTAGAGAGAGGGGGAGACACAGAATCTGAAGCAGGCTCCATGCTCTGAGCTGTTAACACAGCCCAATGTGGGGCTTGAACCCATGAACCATGAGATCAAGATCTCAGCCAATGTCAGATGCTCAACTGACTGAGCCACTAGGCACCCCCATGTTGTACGTCTTTTGCCACACAGAATAGCATATGCGCAAAGAGCTGTGGTTGTGGGGGTTTTGAAGGATGAGTAACAGGTGGAGTAAGGAGTTTTTAAGCAGAGAGAATATTTTGTATTATATAGTGGTGGTCATGTGTCATTGTATATTTGTAACATCTCTCAGGATATCGACACCAAGAACCAACTCTGACGTAAGCCATGGTCTTGAGGTCATGTGGGGTCACTATGTGGTAATCCATTGTGATGAATGTGCCCCACAAATGTAAGAGTTAGTAATGGGGCCCATGGGGGGAAGTGAAGGGTGTATGGGAACTGCTGTACTTTCTCCTTTTTTTTTTTTTCTCCAGAATGAGACTGCAAAAAAAAAAAAAAAATGACACCTATGTAAAAAGAAAAGACTTTCACATTGGCCAGAACCAGGGCCCAGGGCCACTGGCAGCTACAGAGGAGGCTGGGAGAGCAGAGGACACACTCCTTCAGCAAATAGCATCAGGGTTCAGACAGCAAGGAGGGTGAAGGCTCCCCCCACCCAAGGTGACAGAACCCCAGATCTTCCCCTGTGGGCTGGCCACCATCCGAGCTGGGCAGAGCACTGCACTCACACCCAGCCAGGAGCCATGGCCCCGGCCTTGCCCCTGAACCTTGCAGCACGCCAGCCTGCGCCAGACTCACTGGACAGACTGCGTCAGGTGGCCCCCTGAGGCTTCCCTGCAGGCAGCTGTCCCTGCCCCCCAACCTCCTTCACTCCCATCGGGGTGAGCAGGCATACTCCATCTCCCTGGTAATGAAGGAGAGTTGGAAACCAAGTGTCCTCTTACTCAGTTGGTCATGTCTGATGACAGAGGCAATGCAGGGTGAAGGTGAGGCGCCGCTGACCAGGCGCCTTTGGGTACTGCCGGTGTCCGTGGAAAGCATTTCAGTCCTGGGGGATCAGTCATCCAAACCCTTCACTGCACACCATGAGGCAAGAGTGTGCTCATCACTCGACCTGTTCTAGGTTAACACATGGGAAGAGCTCCTGGGCTGAGCACACCGGGCACGCACCTGCTACTTCTGGCACACTAGCCTCATCGCCAGGGTCTTGGTTTAAATCAATGCAGAGTCGAGGAAATGGAGTTGGGCACAAAGACATTAGCCTAAAGTTACTGGGATGCCCGGGCTCTGGCTCCTGGAGACTGGATGTGTCACTCTGCAGGACACAAGCCAGCGGGAAGTGTGCTGATCAGAGGGAAGGAGGCATGGGGGGTGCCTGCTCAAAGTCAACAGAAAGAGTGGCAGTCGAGGGAGGCATACAGGCTCACAACTCCGATCTGGGCAGCGGTGTGGCCTCAGAGATGCCAATGTGCGTTTGCAGGTCTGCTCTCACCCTGGTGTGTTTCAGGGAAAACCCTAGAGACCACGCATCTGGGCTCCGTCTCTACGGACCTCCCCTATCTCTGCCAGCCTCCCCTGCCTCTGCAGGCCTCTCCCTTCTCTGCGGGCCTCCCCCATCTCTGCAGGCCTTTCCTGTCTCTGCAGGCCTCCCCTATCTCTGTGGGCCTCCCCTGTCTCTGCGGGCCTCCATCTGCCAGCCTCCACTGGGACGCAGCTAGGACTGAGAGGGCAGCAGCTCCACACAGCAGAGGAGCCTGGGGCTAAAGCTGTCACAGGTCCTCAACTGGCCACCAGAGGAGATGGGGCAAGTGCCCCACAGTTTCTAGGGGTCTCTGGCCAGCCCCCAGGTGCCCATGCAGCTTCCTTCCCTTGCCCTGTCCCTGCTCCCCTGCTCATGCCCCGTGGGCTCACCTTCCAGTAAACTATTTGCAGGGAAATCCCTATGGGTTTCTGGGGAGGATAGGCAGGAGCAGGGACAGAAACCCAGGTGGGGCCGGAGTCCCAGCATCTGGCAGCGATGTTCGGGGGCAGGGCCCCCAGGGAGCTGTATGGCAGCCCTGAAGCCAGGACGGCCCTGGGCCGGACTCTGCCCTCGCCCGTGGCTGACTCAGGGTCTGGGGAGGGGACCTGAGCCCCCTCAGCTCGTCTTCCCCCGTATGGCATGCGTGGTTCCTCTGAGTCAGGCCAGGGTTCATGAAACACAAGTTTCCTTCCTGCTGCTCGGAGGCGGCAGTGGCAAGCTGGCGGGCAGGCGGGCAGGCAGCCACAGGAGTTACTCCTCACAGCTTCCCTTATCAGCTCAGCCTTGGCAAGGGGGCCAAGGTCTGGCCCATCCGGTGATAGGGAGAGCCCAAGGGAGGGAGAGGTGTCTGTTGTACACCTGGGGCTCTTGGTGACACTCTGTCCCTGCAGGGACAGGAGGGAGGGGAACAGGATGTAAGAGCCAGGCGGGTGGAGGAGGGCCGTGGATGTCACATTTAGGACCTCTGTGCACTGTCAGACCCCTTGGGAGGTGGTCTTACCCCAGAGGAGGGGCTTTGTCACTGGTCACTCCACCCTTAACAGTCTCCTCTGTTATCGGGTTGCTAATATTAATTAACAACTGTTGCTAAGTTTGACACCGCAAGGGTGTGTCCCAGCTGAACTGGCTAGCTCCCGGGAGGGGGCTGGGAGAGGGGCTCTGAGGCTGGGCTGGGTGAGGGGGGCCAGGGTGTGGCGAGCAAGGGTTGGGGGGGCAGTCCTCGCTTTGGGAAGCGGGCAAAGAGGAGACCCCAGCGCCTCCCAGGGAGGTTCGTGGAGAGAGTGGGACACAGGTGGGAGGGCAGGAGGAAGTGGATCATTAACCAGCTAAGAGCCGTGGGAGGTGCACACCTCAGCCCCATTGGTTCCTGACCAGTCAGCCCAGGCCCTCCCCAGCAGGGAGGCTGCCTTGCTGAGTACCCCCAGTTTAAGTGTATGTGCTGTCTGGACGGTTACTGTGTGTCCCCAGGAGCCTGCCCTCGGCCATCTCCGGCTGTCCCCGTGGCCTGGCCCCTACCCCCCCAGACCCCTTCCCAGAGCCGGGATGGCAGAGACCGGACCGAGGGGCTGGCTGCTGTGGGCTCTGCTCCTACACTTGGTGAGTCCCGGTGCTGGTGGTCGCCCTTCCACTGCTGCCGGAGGGAATATCGGGGAGGGGGCTGCTTGGCCACGGTGAGGAGGGCCCGAGGCTGAGGCGCTGGTCTGTGGATAGATAAGGGACCCTGGGCGCCCCAAAGGAGGAGTGCGGGTGGGGGTCCTGGGCAGCCCAGGCCCCGGGTCATGGGGTTGGGTGGACACAAGTGCCGGGGACGGGGGATGCCTGTGTGCCTCCCATGCCTGGTGCACCATGGATGTCCTGGCCTGAGATGGCCAGTGGAGGGACGAGGGAGGGTCCAGTCTTGGGATGCCATTGGGGTGGGCTAGGGGTGCGTGGGTATTGCCTGACAAGGATTCAGCACCTGGATGGAGAGGAGTTCCGAGGCTCTCGCACGTCAGGGGGGACAGCTGAAGGCTCTCAACCCCAAGCAGGTGAGGCAGGAAAGGTCTGCACAGAATCTCCAAGAGGGGCCCTGGGCCCCCAGGTGCAGCCAGCAGCCTCCCAACCTGTCGTGGCCTCTGTTTCTCAGCAGGACCAGGCGGCAGCCTCCAAGGGTGTCCACCCCGTTATCCCCACCTGTTCCCTTACCCTCCGGCGTGACTTTGCTAAAGGCAGGTCTGTCCAGCCACCTACCTCTCCTCAGTAACCCTGTCGCTTGGGATGCAGGCTGGGCTTGTCCAAGCCATCACCCCTAGACACTGTGGGTGCATCCCGCCCGTCCCCAGGTCTCCAGATTGTGCACCCCATGCCTGTACCTGCCCTCTCTCTCCCCCCACCCCTTCCTGGCTGCCCGCTGCTGGGTGATGCTGGGCCCCATGGTGATGTCGCCCCACCCGCAGGCCCAGGCTGAGCTGTATACACCCATCCACCAGACTGGCTACTGCGCCTTCTATGACGAGTGCGGCAAGAATCCAGAGCTGTCCGGAGGCCTGGCTCCTCTGTCCAATGTGTCCTGCCTGTCCAACACGCCCGCCCGCCGCCTCGCCGGCGAGCACCTGGCCCTCCTGCGGCGCATCTGCCCCCGCCTGTATAGTGGTCCCGACACCACCTACGCCTGCTGCTCCGCCAAGCAGCTGGTGTCCCTGGAGGCGAGCCTGGCGGTCACCAAGGCGCTCCTCACACGCTGCCCGGCCTGCTCCGACAACTTCGTGAGTCTGCACTGCCACAACACCTGCAGCCCCAACCAGAGCCTCTTTGTCAACGTCACACGCGTGGTAGTGCGCGGGGGTGGCCAGCCACCGGCCGTGGTGGCCTACGAGGCCTTCTACCAGAGCAGCTTCGCCGGGCAGACCTACGACTCATGCAGCCGGGTGCGCGTCCCCGCAGCGGCCACACTGGCCGTGGGTGCCATGTGTGGTGTCTACGGCTCCGCCCTCTGCAATGCGCAGCGCTGGCTCAATTTCCAGGGGGACACGGGGAACGGCCTGGCCCCCCTGGACATCACCTTCTACCTCTGGGAGCCTGGCCAGATGCCAGGGAGTGGGATGCAGCCTCTGAACGGGGAGGTCGCGCCTTGCAATGAGTCCCAGGCAGACGGCGGGGCTGCCTGCTCCTGCCAGGACTGTGCTGCCTCCTGCCCCGTCATCACGCGGCCCCAGCCCCTGGATGCCACCTTCTACCTGGGCCGGATGGCAGGCGGGCTGGCCCTCGTCATCGCCCTCTGCTCTGCCTTCGCCGTGCTAACCGCCTTCCTGGCGGGGCCCCGCCTGGCCTCCCGCTGGCGCAAGGGCAAGTCGCTGGACCCCATGGCAGGCACGAGCCTCTCTGACAGACTGAGCCTGTCCACGCATAGCCTCCTGGGCCGTTGCTTCCAGGGCTGGGGCACGTGGGTGGCCTTGTGGCCGCTGACCGTCCTGCTGGTGTCTATCACTGTGGTGCTGGCCTTGTCAGGAGGCCTGGCCTTCGTGGAGCTGACCACAGACCCGGTGGAGCTGTGGTCGGCCCCCAACAGCCAGGCCCGGAGGGAGAAGGCATTTCACGACGAGCACTTCGGCCCTTTCTTCCGAACCAACCAGGTGATCCTGACGGCGCCCCAGCGGCCTGGCTCCAGGTATGACTCCCTGCTGCTGGGGCCCAAGAACTTCAGTGGGGTCCTGGCCCCCGACATTCTGCTGGAGGTGCTGGAGCTGCAGGAGACCCTGCGGCACCTCCAGGTGTGGTCGCCTGAGGAGCAGCGGAACGTGTCACTGCAGGACGTTTGCTTCGCGCCCCTCAACCCGTACAATGCCAGCCTCTCTGACTGCTGCGTCAACAGCCTCTTGCAGTATTTCCAGAACAACCGCACGCGCCTGCTGCTCACGGCCAACCAGACACTGACAGGACAGACCTCCCAAGTGGACTGGAGGGACCACTTTCTCTACTGTGCTAAGTGAGTTCTTGCTGGCTGGCCCGGCGGTGGGCGGGATAGAGGGGAGGCGCTGTGTGCAGCGGCCCTTGGGGTCCTGTGTGGCCCCAAGTTTCTGTGTCAGGGGCTGCAACACACCCTTCCCCTCCATACTTGTCCCAGCCCCCCCACCCAGGGGGCCGTCACGGCCTCCCCGGTTCTGACCCTGCTCGGACAGAGCAGTGGCATCCTTGCGTGTTCTTGCTTTGAGTGTGACAGTGATGTGATGGCCCCACAAACATGTGTGCTTCTGTGTCTTCTCTTTGCTTCCGTGCGGGCCCCCAGGACTGCAGGGTCATCTAGCAGGGCTGGGGCTCGTGTCAGCCTGGGCTGGGTGCCCCTGTGCAGGGTGGAGCCACACACCAGTGTTGAGGGTTCCAGCCCCAGCTGCCTCCACTCTGCTGTGCTGCAAATAGGATGAGAGTAAGGCCACTGGGCCTTGGGGCTGGGGAGCAGCAGGTGGGCAGGCAGCGGCCGCACCCCCCCTCACCGAGGTTGTAGCGTTGACGCTGTGACAGAGACTGAAGACCCCTGGGAGCTCTGGCCCGGGTAGAGGCTGTGTCTACTGACATCTACCACATGATGAAATGAAACGATATGTTCTAGTTCTTTAAACATGACAGTGACAAGCCTCATTATGTGTCAACACAAGTAGCATACTTTTATGAAAAATAACTGTATTTTCCAAACAGGAAGAGTCAGTGATATGTGTGACATTGTTTTACATCTCTATGAATCTCTTTGGTGGCTTGTATAATGGGAGATAGCTGGCTTCTGGCTTCTGCATGTGGTCTGCTGGTAGGGCCATAGTGGGAATCTCTGGCCTCACCCCTGTGTGGCTGGACGGGGGAGGAGCATCATGAGGGCCTCTCCACATACTTGTGGTTTTCTTTGATAGACACCCAAACTCAGCACGTGGCTTTTCCTAAATGTTAGTTGCAACATGGAATCTGAAGTCACGTCTGTGGACTGTCTCTACCTGTTATACCCAATGGCAAATGAAGGGGAAAAAAGCAGAAAGCATCTTAGTGTTATTATGAAAATACTTTTGATCTTGCCGACCCTCGAAAGGGTGTTAGGGCCCTGACACCACACTGAAGACCACTGGATTAGGCAAGGGACCCAGGGCTCCACCCCTCAGGAAAGTCCAAGTTTGGACCGCTTCCTAGAGTCGGTGTCTTGGCCCCGACTGGCTGGCCCTTAGAACTGGCGGGTCTGGGAGGGAGCTCTGGCCCCGGTCCAGTCCTTGTGTTGGCTTTATTTTGATTTTGGATGCTCACAACAACTGTTGGGCAGTTGGATTATCCCCATTCCAGAGGCAGGAAAACTGAGGCCCAGGGTTGTGGTGAGCTCTCAAGGTCACATAGCAAGCAGCACACCCAGGACAGCTGGTGAGCCACGTGCTCGCTCACAAAGAGCACTCTGTCCAGATGCCCTCCACATGCATGCAGGGTGGCAGGGCTAGTAATTTGTCTGCAGGAAAGATCTGATCTCAGGGCTTGGCGGGGGAGCAGGCTGAGCACCGTGAGGCTGTCTTGTAGGAACGGAGCTCGTGCCAGACTCCCAGGGCTAAGTCCTGGTTCCTCCTGGCCGACCAGCCGCGTGTGTCACACTTGCGTGGCTGCCTTGTCTGCCATGCTACCTGGAGACTGCAGGGTCGGGTGGGTGTGAGGGGAGAGCTCACACAGCCCTGGTCACAGAGCTCTGCTCCCCTCTGGGTCTGACCAAGGGAAATTTTGGGGGGAGAAATGGTTCTGACCACATGGGAGGTGATAGTGCTGGCAGTCTGGGGCTGGGTGCCGGGTCCGTCAATGGGCATAGGGCTAGGAAAGGTTCTTCCTTTTCTCCCCCCAGCGCCCCGCTCACCTTCAAGGATGGCACAGCCCTGGCCCTGAGCTGCATGGCTGACTATGGGGGCCCTATCTTCCCTTTTCTTGCTGTGGGGGGCTATAAAGGTAAGCTGGGTGGCCCCGGGGTAGGCCACCAAAGGGGCAATATGGGACAGGGACGGTGGGCCAGAGGGTGAGAATACTGATGGGCTCTCACTGCCTGGGGGTGGGCCAGGCTTATAGGAGGCTGACAGGGGCCACTGAACTGCTACCTTTTTAATCTTCTCCAGGCTGCTCAGGTCCTCTGGTTCTGTGCCTGACTTCACAGGCTTGTCCTTGGCTGAAAGACGGAAGTGGGGTGGAGGGATTAGACAATGACTTGGATATGGACAGTCAGGGAGGGAAGCAGGGGTGCTGCAAGAGGGGGGGAGGGGAGCAGGGGTGAGGCTGGGGTGGGGAGGGGTGCAGGGGTGCTGCTGGAGTGGGGGACAGGAGCAAGGGTGAGGTTGCAGTAGATGAGGGGAGCAGTGGTGAGCAGGGCTAAGGCCAGAGTTGGGGACGGGAGCAGGGGTGAGCAGAGGTGAGGCTGGAGTTGGGAGTGGAGCAAGGGTGCTGCTGGGGTGGGAGACGGGAGCAGGGGTGAGGAAGGAGGGTGGCTGAGCATTTCTTATCCCAGGAAAGGACTACTCTGAGGCAGAGGCCCTGATCATGACCTTCTCCCTTAACAACTACGCCCCTGAGGACCCTCGGCTGGCGCAGGCAAAGCTCTGGGAGGGGGCCTTCTTGGAGGAGATGAGAGCTTTCCAGCGGCGGACAGCCGGCAGGTTCCAGGTCACGTTCATGGCGGAGGTAGGCTTCGAGGGGTCCATGACTCTCTGCAAGGGCAGGCAACCCTGGTGGCTTGGGTGGGTCCCCGTGCCCCCATCCTGGACGCCCCCCTCCTGAGTGACCCTGGGCCTGCGGCCACCCACAAGGAGGACAGGATCCAGCGGGCTGGCTAGGCTGGAGGAGTCCTCAGGTCAGCGGGGCTGGGGGTGTGCATCCGTAGCGCTCCCTGGAGGACGAGATCAACCGAACCACGGCCCAGGACCTGCCTATCTTCGGGGTCAGCTACATTGTCATCTTCCTGTACATCTCCCTGGCCCTGGGCAGCTACTCCAGCTGGCGCCGGGTGGCGGTGAGGATCTGGAGAGGCCCAGTGGGGTGGGCTGGCTGGTCAGAGCATCTGGAAACTTCCCAGAGCAATGGGGACACCTCTGAGGTGGCTCCCCAAGGGGTAATACTTCTCAAAAGGCTGCATGATTAATTCCCATCCTGCTCGGGCCCTGGCAGCATGTGCACAGCTGACCTGTTGGGGGGGATGCGGGAACGAAGAGACCCCCCAGCATGCCTGCTCTGGCCCCGCTGCCCTTCTCTAGCTCGGGGTGGGGGGCGCCTGGGGCGGCTGAGGAGGCTGAACCTGGCCCATTGCAGGTGGACACCAAGGCCACGCTGGGTCTGGGCGGGGTGGCCGTGGTGCTGGGAGCGGTCACGGCGGCCATGGGCCTCTTCTCGTACCTGGGCGTCCCCTCCTCCCTGGTGATCCTTCAGGTGGTACCTTTCCTGGTGCTGGCCGTGGGGGCCGACAACATCTTCATCTTCGTGCTCGAGTACCAGGTGAGAGGGTGGGGCTCCCCTCTTCTCGCAGACATGGTCCTGCACTGGTTTGGGCCTTTCCCGCTCTCTCCTTCTCCACCAGCATTCGTGTCTACAGTTCCTTGCAAAACGGAGTGTCCTGTATCTTGCACGCACCACGTGTGTTCCTACCTCATGTGCCACCTCGCTCTGTGCTGAGTGTCAGGGCCATCCGGCCTCCTCTGTAGCAGTCCACAGACTCGAAGTCCCCATGGACTTAGCCTCTCCTGCTGGTGCACCTTTAGGGACCCAGGGACACGTTGGAGGGAGAGTGCTGTGCACGTCCCACAACGAGCCAAGCACGGCTCCTGGCCAGACACTGAGAAGCGGGGTGTTCGCTGGGTCTGCTCCTCACTGAGGTGGGGTTTTCCGGCCAGGGCTGTGCCCTCCCGGCCGGCCCTGGACACTGTCCCTGACGTCCCCACACAGAGGCTGCCACGGAGGCCTGGGGAGCAGCGAGAGGCCCACATCGGCCGTGCGCTGGGCAGGGTGGCTCCCAGCATGCTGCTCTGCAGCCTCTCCGAGGCCATCTGCTTCTTCCTTGGTGAGGCCAGCACCCCTTCCTGCCGGGGCGGTGTGTGTGGGCGGCCCCCTGCCCTCCACTGCTGCGAGCAGTCGCAGGACCTGAGATTCACCCCTGCACCCCCAGGGGCTCTCACCCCCATGCCAGCGGTGAGGACCTTCGCCCTGACCTCCGGCTTGGCCATCATCCTGGACTTCCTGCTGCAGGTGTCTGCCTTTGTGGCCCTGCTGTCTCTGGACAGCAGGCGGCAGGAGGTAGGGCTGGGGCAGGCCCCAGGGACCCACCTGGCAGAGCAGACTCAGAGAGTGGGGCTGGGTGTGGGGAAGGCGTGTGGGTGTGTGGACCGCATAGCCCCCAGGGCCCCATGGAGAAGCAAGTCTGCTTTGATAATTTAGAGGAACATTATCAAATCTGCAAGGTACGAAAGGCCGAGAAAAGCTAGAAGTGAGATGTTGAGAGGGAGGATGCAGAGTTTAGTGGTGTTTTATCACCATGGAAAATAAAAGCTGAGAACAGCACGCTGGCACGTCCCCCCAACCCCCACCCCTGTCCCATGAGGTGGCGCTGCAACGGGAGGGAGGGGAAGCTGGGCTCTGCTCTGGGGCCACCGTGAGGGGGCTGCCTCCCCGCAGGCCTCCCGGATGGATGTCTGCTGCTGCGTTGGCGCCCGGGAGCTGCCCCCAGATGACCAAAGTGAGGGGCTCCTGCTCCGATTCTTCCGCAAGATCTACGTCCCGCTCCTCCTGCACCGGGTCACTCGTGTGGTTGTGGTGAGTGTGTGTGGGGGGTGCCTGCCCACGGGGCCTCGAGCTTGCCTGGGTGAGGGCTGGCTGGGACGCCAGTGGCCCAGCTCCAGAGCATCCCTCACCTCCACAGCTGCTGCTGTTCACCGGCCTGTTTGGAGTCGGGTTGTACTTCATGTGCCAGGTCAGCATGGGGCTGGATCAGGAGCTGGCCTTGCCTAAGGTGAGCTGCGCCTCGTGACCTCCGCTCGGTGGCCTGGGATCCAGGGGGTCAGCACACACCGCCAGTGCCAGGCATGGGCCGGGGGGCTTATTCACAGTGGGGACCCGGGAGAGTGGCCAAGCCAGAGTGTGAACGCGCAGGGGTGGGCGCCAGCCCCACGCCTCGTGGGGGGCAGGAGCAGGCCATGGGGACCTGGCCGAGTGGGGCGAGCGTCCAGGCGGAGTGACCAATGGCTTACCAAGTGCCTGCCCCGTGCTGGGCACACCACCTCCTCAGGCCTAAGAGACAGGGGTCAGTGGCTCTGTGGAGGGCAAGACCTTTGTGGCTTGAGGGGCCAGATGGCCTTGTGGGTGGAAGAGAGGTGGGCAAGGATGGCAGCCAGCGTGACCCCTGTGACTCCCTCTGCGCTCCCCTGCCCAGTGCCCACCATATTCTCTCCATCTCTGTGGACTGGACCCTGCTCAGGACCCCATGGAAGTGGGACCCTCCAGTGTATGTCCTTCTGTGTCTGTCTCCTGCCACTCAGCGTCAGCTCTCCGGGTTCATCCACGTTGGGACAGGCGTTGGAGCATCCTTCCCTCTCAAGGCTGAGGATGCTCACACATTTGTGAGGACAGACACACACACACACACACACACACACACACACATTTTCTTCATTCCTTGTTTGTGCACATGGGTTCCTTCCTGAGTGTTTGTAATGAGGCTGCTGTGGATATGAGTGCACAGAGATCTCTCCCCGATCCTGCATTCCATACTTTCTGGTGTGTTCCCAATGGGAGCTAGCTGCTGGGCCACCTGAGAACTCTAACTGTAATTTATTTTTAAGTTTATTTATTTATTTTGAGAGAGAGAGTGAGAGAGTGCATGAGCAGGGGTGGGGCAGAGGGAGAGGAGACAGAATCCGAAGCAGGATCCAGGCTCTGAGCTGTCAGCACAGAGCCCAACTCTGGGCTTGAAGTCATGAACCACGAGACCATGACCTGGGCAGAAGTCGGATGCTTAACCAACTGAGACCCCCAGGCGCCCTCTGCCCCTTTTTTGATAGTACCATCCTGGCTGGTGTGAAGGGGCACCCCACTGGGGTTCTGATTTGCATTTCCCAGATAGTCAGTGATGCTGACCATCTTTCCGTGTGTTTATTGGCCATTTGTGTGTCTTCTTTGGAGAAATGTATATTCAAGTCTTTTGCCCATTTTTGAATCAGGTTGGGCTATTTTTGGTTTGTCTCTTTGCTGAGTTTTGGGAATTCTCTAGATATTTGGGGTATTGATTTCTAATCAGATACGTGATTGGTAAATGTTTTCTCCACTTCTGTTGGTTGCCTTTCTACAGTATTGGGAAGGTCTTTTGATGAACAAAAGTTTTTAATTCTCATAGCACCTGGCCAGCCCAGTTGGAGCATGCTACCCTTGATCTCAGGGCCATGAGTTTAGGCCCTCCACTGGGAGTAGCGATTACCGAAAAATAAAAAACTTTTAAGTCTTTTTTTTTTTTAATTTTTTTAACGTTTATTTATTTTTGAGACAGAGAGAGACAGAGTATGAGCAGGGGAGGGTCAGAGAGAGGGGGACACAGAATCTGAAACAGGCTCCAGGCTCTGAGCTGTCAGCACAGAGCCTGACGCGGGGCTCGAACCCACAGACCACGAGATCATGACCTGAGCTGAAGTCGGCCGCTTAACCAACTGAGCCACCCAGGCACCCCAAAAACTTTTAAGTCTTTTAAAAAGCTTTTTAAATTTTTCAAAAGTCCAATTTGCCTATTTTCCCACTTGTTACCCAGGATTCTGGTGTTGTTAAAGAAATCATCACCAGGGGCACCTGGGTGGCTCAGTCGATTAAGCGTCCAACTTCGGCTCAGGTCATGATCTCACGGTTCGTGGGTTCGAGCCCTGCGTCGGGCTCTGTGCTGACAGCTAGCTCAGAGCCTGGAGCCTGCTTCAGATACTGTGTCTCCCTCTCTCTCTGACCCTCCCCTGCTCATGCTGTATCTCTCTCTCAGAAATAAATAAAACATTTAAAAAATTTAAAAAAGAAAAGAAATAATCACCAAATCCAGTATCTGGAACCTGTGTTTTCCTCTAAGGGTATTGCAAATTCAGCTCTTACTTGCTGGATCCATTTGAGTTAATTTTTGTACATAGTTACACATATTTTTGAAGGTCCAACTTCATTCTTTTATGTGTGGACGTCCCACGTCCCCAGCACCATGCATTGAAGAGACTCCCTTTCCCTACAGGATGGTCTTGGCACCCTTGTCAGAGTCTATGTCACCATACACGCAAGGGTCTACGTCTGGGCTGTCTTCTGTCCCATAGGTCTGTCTGTCTGTATGTCGTTATGCCAGTGCCTCACTGCTTAGACTACTGTGCATTTGTGGTCAGTTTTGAGATCAGGAAATGTGAGTCCTCCAACTTTCATTCTTTTTAAAGATTCTTTTAGGTCTTTGGAGTGGAGTCCCTTATGAGTTTTAAGATGGATTTTTCTATTTCTGCAAAAAACATCATTGAGATCTTGATAGGATCGCACTGAATCTGGAGGCTCTTTGGCGGCCCGGGGAATATTCAGCCTTCCAGTTCGTGGGCACAGGCGTCTTCTCACTTATTTGTGTCTTTAATTTCTGTCTGGGATGTGGCATGGCTATCAGTGTGTAGGTCTTTCATGTCCTGGTGAAGTTAGTCCCTAAGTACTTTGTTTTATGCTATTGTAACTGTACTTTCCTTAGCTTCATTTTTGGTTATTCATTGCTTATGTATAGAAATGCAACTGATTTTTGTGTGTTGGTCTCATAACTTGCCACTTTGCTGAATTTATTTACCAGTCTTAAGGGTTTTTTGGTGGAATGTTAGTTTTATATACGTATGATCATGTTATCTACACACAGATTTTTCCTGTAGCCCTCCTCTCTAGCTCTGGAATTTATGGGCTCCAGTCTATGTTTTCTATTTGGTGGTCTTCCTGTTTTGTTCATACTTTCTTTTCTTGACTTTGTCCGTATCTTATTTTGGCTCTGTGAGCATTCCTAAGACAGATGGTTTAAAGTTTCTGCCTGATTCTATCTGGTCTTTCTCAAGGAGGTCATCTGTTGATTAGTTTTTGTTCCTAGGTATGGGCCACACTTTTCTATTTTTTGTGTATGTTGTAATTTTTGTTGTTGAAAAACACAGTTGAGTTGTATCATATGGTAACTCTAAAGATCAGATTCTCCTCCCTTCTCTAGGGTTTGCTTTTTTTTTTTTTTTTATGTGATGTGTCTGTGTCCTAGAGATTAGCCTGTGGTATAAGATTAAAGTCTTATCAGGTTTTTTCTGAGCCTGTGCCTTTCCCTGGTAACGTGCGGTGATCTCTGTATTTGCGACTGCATTTGAATGTTTCATTCCTTAAACAGCTGGCTCCCAGAAGGAGAAAAAGGAGAAAAAACATGAAACAGAAAACTAATAAGCCAGTCACTTTCCATTTAAATATCTTGGCAGTTGGACCAGCTGGGGGCGGCGGAGGCCGAGGTGCAGCCTGAGATCAGAAGCTGTGATCAGCCCTCTGAACACAAATTTGCCATCTGTAGAGGGTGGGGTCCTTATGTCCCACGCGGACGGCAAGCAGTGTACAAACTGCCCCTGGGACACTCACACGTGCTGGGAGCTGAAGGCATTGACATGAAGCACAGTTACTATCCAGGCCTTTCCCTGGAAGCTGCGAGCCCTCAACCGCCCCAGGGCTGCAAACCCCATCAGACCTGCGGTGCAGCTGTGTCTAGGTGGGGTGGAGGTAGACTCCTGGCACCTCGTACTCAGTCTTCTCTGCCCTGTTCGGAGGTTTTGGGAGAAGGGAACAGGTCATGCAGGTGCCTGACACACAGCCACTTTCTGTGTGCACACGCCTGTGGGCTGTGCCTGAACCGAGACAATAGGAAGGGATCATGTTACACGCGCAGGCATGTGTGTGTGCGTGTCAGAGTGTGTTCACATGGGGCGGAGCGTGTCGCTTTGTGCTTGCACCTGTGGTTATATACACCTCTCGCCCTGTATCTCTGTAATGGATCCGCAAGTGCACCTCTGTGAGTTCTGTCTCTGTGAGCAGGTGTGCCCGTGCGTGTACCCCCCCCCAACTCTCAAGTACTTCTGTGAGTGTGCATGTAGCTCTGTGAGTGGGAGGAGGAGTGCGCCTCTGGGGTGAGTCTGGCCCCGACCTCACCGGCCGTCCTCTGTTCCAGGACTCGTACCTGCTCGACTACTTCCTCTTTCTGAACCGCTACTTTGAGGTGGGGGCTCCAGTCTACTTTGTCACCACTGGGGGCTACAACTTCTCCAGCGAGGCGGGTATGAATGCCATTTGCTCGAGCGCAGGATGCGACACCTTCTCCTTAACCCAGAAAATACAATTTGCCACTGAGTTCCCCGACGAGTAAGTGGCCAGCTGCCCCCTCCTTACTTCCCTAGGAAGCCCTGTGCCTGGGGAAGGGGCAGGGCCACCATAAGGATGCCCACCTGGTCGAGCCTGCCCCACTCCCCCCAGCCTCCATCCTCTCCCTGCACCCTCAGGTCTTACCTGGCCATCCCCGCCTCTTCCTGGGTGGACGACTTCATTGACTGGCTAACCCCATCTTCCTGCTGCCGCCTATATGCCTTTGGTGCCAATAAAGATAAATTCTGCCCCTCGACCGTCAGTGAGTGCAGGCCGTCTGGGGGCTCAGGGCCTACCTACCACAGCTTGGGGAAACTGAGGCAAGAGAGAAGAGGACTGGCGAGGCCTTCTTGCAGGGTCGATCGGGGTGGGGGCACGGGCTCTGAGCACATGTGTGGGTGACCACAACCCACTGTGTGGGTGCCCCCCCCGAGTGGTTATCTCTGGGCATGCCATCACGCTAGGGTGGTGGATGGTGGGAGGGCCAGGTTAGCATGTGGCCCTGGCCTCAGAGCAGCTGCACTTGTATGGGAGTAGGGAGGCCCAAGGGGGTTGTTTCTTTCACCTGCCTACAGGCGCCAGGAGTTTCCATAGGCCTCTCCTACAGAGACAAGGGCAGACCCCTCCAGACCACATGTGGGGCATGGCTGTTTGGCTGGTGGAAGTGCCCGGGGACCTTGATGGGAATGGAGCCAGAGGAGGGCAGAGCAGGGCCTGCGATGCCACTGCCCAGAGCCCCCTCTCTCTTTGCAGACTCCCTGGCCTGCTTGAAGAGCTGCGTGAACTTCACCCTGGGCCCCATCCGGCCATCAGTGGAGCAGTTCCACAAATACCTGCCCTGGTTCCTGGAAGATCCGCCCAACATCAAGTGTCCCAAAGGGTAAGCCTGGGGTGGGGAGGACAGCCTCGTGGGTGCCGGCAGGGGGACTGTCCCTGAGTGTGGCGGTGGCCCTGATGAAGCCTTCGCTCTGGCTTTCTGGCAGTGGACTGGCAGCGTATAGTACCTCCGTGGATTTGGGACTCGATAACCAGGTATTAGGTAAGCGTGGCCTCACTTGGTGGGGAAGGCCAGAGTCAGCTGCTCTGGGGTGGGGTGGGGGGGAGAGGGGAGGTTCCCTGAAGCCCCAGGGAAGAGCCTCTCCGCCTCTAGTCTTCTCTCCCTCCTTCGTGGGGGGCTTCGATCTGCCCTGTCCTCAGAGGTCACGTCACCCAGCACCATGTTCTCAGACTTCACCCAGGTGTGCTCTGTTTCCTTCTCCCCTCCCCCCGCCCCCAATCATCAGTCGTGAGACATTCACCGCCTCTTTCGGCAGTTGGTGGCATCCAGAGTCACCCACACCCCTTCCTCACATACACAGATCACGCCCAGAGGCGCACCTGGGCGCACCTGGTTAAGCGATGGGCTGTTGCACCTGCCCAGGGGTCACCCAGAGCACAGCCCTGCCTAGTGAACCACTTGCGGGTTTCTGTCTCCGTTTCTTGATCTTCTCTTTATGAAGATGCATATCGGAAAAGTAATTGACTTAATTTGAAACATCCAATGCATGTTTTGAAACCCTGGAGAGCAGCATCTGGGTTTATCCCGGAAGTGTCTTTAAGCTGCGCCCATCAGAGTCAGGCGGGGCGGAGCCTCCCGAGGGGGTGCAACCCCCAGAGGCAGGGTCCCTCGATCACAAGTTAAGAATTCCATCCTGGTGGCTGCTGAGCCCCTCCCCGGGTGTACCCTAGCCCCCGGGGGTCTGAGGGCGCCTGCAGCGGGCTCTGACCTTGACCTTTCGCAGCCTCGCGTTTCATGGCCTACCACAAGCCACTGCGGAACTCGCAGGATTACACGGAAGCCCTGCGGGCGGCGCGTGCGCTAGCGGCCAACATCACCGCCCACCTGCGGCAGGTGCCGGGCACTGACCCGGCCTTCGAAGTCTTCCCTTACACGTGAGGCCCGGCGGCGGGGGCGGGAGGGGTTCTGGGGCACATGGAGCCGGACCCGGGCCCGGGAAGCGGCAGGCCCCGGCAGTGACAGCGCTCCACCGCCCGCAGGATCACCAACGTATTCTACGAGCAGTACCTGACCGTGGTCCCCGAGGGCCTCTTCATGCTCGCCGTGTGCCTGCTGCCCACCTTCGCCGTCTGCTGCCTGCTGCTGGGCATGGACCTGCGCTCCGGCCTCCTCAACCTGTTCTCCATCGTCATGATCCTCGTGGACACCGTGGGCTTCATGGCCCTATGGGGCATCAGCTACAATGCTGTGTCCCTCATCAACTTGGTCACGGTAACACGCGCATGTGCCGGACACTCCACTTCCCTCCCGAGACCCCGCGCCCCAGGCCTGCACGCCTAACGCCCCTTTCTGCCCCCAGGCGGTGGGCATCTCCGTAGAGTTTGTGTCCCATATCACCCGTGCCTTTGCCATCAGCACCCGGCTCACCCGGCTGGAGAGGGCCAAGGAGGCCACGGTCTTCATGGGCAGCGCGGTGAGTGGGCCGGCTACCCCCTGTAGTCCCCACCCCTCCACCCTGCACCCCGCGTCATGCCCGCCTGTGACCCCCAGGTGTTCGCGGGAGTGGCCATGACCAATCTGCCAGGCATCCTCGTCCTGGGCTTGGCCAAAGCGCAGCTCATCCAGATCTTCTTCTTCCGCCTCAACCTCCTCATCACCCTGCTGGGCCTGCTGCACGGCTTGGTCTTCCTGCCAGTGGTCCTCAGCTTCCTGGGTGAGCGCCCCATATGCCTGCCTCGCCGCACCTGTTGGCCTGTGGCACAGCAGGGCCCCTCCTCCACCCCGCCCCCAGCAGTCCCCGCCCAGGGGGTCCCTCCCCTCCGTCCTCCAAAGCCCATCTCTCCAGCCTAGATGCTCTTGCATCCTAGGGGGCTGGAGAGCCCCACCACCACCCTGAACCCCTCCCTCCTTTCTTCCTGGAACATCCTGTGTGGGTGCCCAGCAAGCCCTCTCTGCTAAGAGGAGCTGTTGCCCACTCTGTGGACAGACTCCGGGCAGGGAGGAGCCTCCTGCCTAGCACACCTCCCTGACGGAGGGCCTCTGGGGCTATCCCTCTGCAGGGCCTGATGTCAATGCTGCTCTGGTGCTGGAGGAGAAGATGGAGGAGGCCGCCAGGGCCAGGATGGCCTCCTGCCCGACCCACCCGGCCCCACCATCCAAGGCCAGCAGCACCTACGTCAACCATGGCTTTGAACACCCTGCCAAGAGCATGGGTGGCGCTGATGGTTCTCTGTCCCCCAGTGGGCAGGGGTTCTGAGGAGCAGACCCTGTCCCGGCTCACCAGCCCTGACCCCAGGAGCCATGCGGGTTTCCTCCCGCGTCCTCCGTCCTCCGACTCAGGGCCTAGGAGAGGCATTCCCCATGGGAGTGTCTGAGGCAGAGCGGTCAGTCTCCGGCAACCAGGTGGGACCTGAGAGGACATTGTGAGGATGAAGGTGGCGTGTGGCAGCGTGGGTGTGGCCTGTTCCTGACCTGTCTCTTGAAGTTGACGTGGGTCTTCCTGGAGCAAGATTTTAAACTTTAATTCCCTGTGTCTATATGTAAACATATATAGAGTATCATTTCACATTTAAATGTTTTCCATACATGACTTGACATGTCCCTTTGCAACAGCTTCTTCCCCCCACACCCTCCTCTCCCCGCTCCCTGCATTTTACACTTATTCCCATTGGTCCCTGTGGACCTGGTCCAGTCACCACGACTGCCCCAGATTATTCCATCACATGAATGAGCACGATTGCTTTCTTTTTAAAGGTTTCATTTTTAAGTCATCTCTCCACCTAGCTCGGGGCTCGCATTCACAACCCTGAGATGAAGAGTCACGAGCCCCACCGCCTGAGCTGGCTTGGCCCCACAAACACCAGGACTCTATTTGTTCCCTGCTGGTGGGCAGATTGGTCCCTGTTGCTTTTCCACTACACGTCCGTAATCACTTCCGTGGCATTCCCAAATCCCCGAATCTCTGAAGACCGCGTTTGCCTTTTTACTTTTGTATATTAGGGATAATCTCATTTGGTTGGCAAGTCGGACCAGATGAGAAGTGTCTCTTTACACCTTTATGATTGGGGGCTTTAGGCCCTCTGTCCTCCTTGATGTGAGCTGTCAGATACTTTGGCACATTCACGATTTTATGTGCTTCGTGCTGCCCCAGGTCCTGATGGGGTGTGATATCTAAGGCGGCGTAAGTGTCAAATTACTTTTCTAAAAATCTTCTAAATTCTGAAATCCATCTCACTGAGATTTCAGGTACAGAACATGGACCTCTATGAGGCTGAGCAGGCACTAGCACATCTGTAGGTGTGGGAGAGATGCCTGGAGGCGGTGTTGCCTGGGGACTGCAGGGGACCGACAGCCGCCTCCATGGAAAGCGCTGCCCTATTCACACTCCACTCGTGGTAGTGAGGGGGCCTCCCTCCCTGTCCCCTCACCAACACTGCGCATCCACTCGTTGTTTGGAGGAAAGAGTAGCATTGTGCATGATAATAATTTTTAAATGTTTTTCAAAAGAAAGCTTTTTACAATTTTAGAATTAGATTTACAGAAAAATTACAAAGATAGTACAGAGTGCCTGCATACCTCACGTCCAGTTTACCCTATTAACATGTTAGTACAGTACATTCGTCACCATATGCTTAATAAACCAGTATTGGCAATTACTACTAAAGTCTACCCTTTATTTAGATTTCCTTAGTTTTTACCTAGTGTTCCTTTTTCTGTTCCAGGATGGCACATGACATTTAGTTGTTGTGTCTAGTTAGGCTCTTGGTGGTGACAGTTTGTCAGACTTATTTCCGAGGACCTTGACAGTTTCAAGGAGGACTGGTCGGGCATTTTGTAGAATGCCTGTCCTTCAAGCGGGGTTTGTCTGGTGTTTTTCTCCCGATTAGATCGAGGTTATGGGTTTTCAGTAGGTGCAGTGCCCTTCTCGGCACATCACGTAAGGGGTGCATGCAGTCCCCATGATTTCCCACTGTTGGCATTGACTCGCTTCACTGGGCCAATGTTGCGTCTGTCTGGCGTCTCTTCTGCGCGACTACCCTTAGCCCCTCTCCACACTGTCCATGCTGTGCTTTTTGGAGGGCAGTCACTCTGCGCAGCCTGCACTTAGGGAGTGGGGAGTTACGTTCCACCTCCTGGAGGGTGGAGGATTTATGTAAATTATTTGTAATTCTTCTCAACAGAAAAAATGTCTATTCCCCTCCATCTGTTTATTTAGTGTGACATACACGGTACGGACTCGTGGATATCCAGTTTGTACTTTGGGTTCTAATATGATACTACTTTATTTTGTTGCCCAGATCGCTCCAGCTAGGAGCTCTTTTTTTTTTTTAAGTTTTAATCATTTATTGTAGAGAGACAGAGACAACATGAGCAGGGAGGGGCACACAGAGAAGGAGAGAGAATCCCAAGCGGGCTCCGTGCTGCCAGTGTACAGAGCCTGATGTAGGGCTCAAACCCACGAAACCGTGAGATCATGACCTGAGCTGAAATTAAGAATCAGACCCTTAACCAACCGAGCCACCCAGGTGTCCCCAGGAACTCTCTTTCTGTTGGCTCCTGTGTCCCTTGTCACACCCCCAGAGGTGTTTTCCCGTTCTGAGCACTTCCTTGCTCTCTGGCACTATAAGTTGGTCCAGGCTCAGCTTGTGTATTTGCTGTCCCAGTCCTAGAATTAGCCATTTCTCCAAGGAGTCCTGGCCCTTCTACTGGAGACGGGATTCGAACCCAGGATCTGGCGTCCGTGTGAGCTTCACTGCTGGGGCAGTGTTGCTGTTGGGCTCCTCAGCTGAGACAGCAAGGAAATAAACGTGTGCAAACCGATACATGTATGTACACCTTTCTTTGCTTAAAAAAAATTGTTTAATGTTTATTTTTGAGAGAGAGAGAGAGACAGAGTGTGAGTGGGCAGAGAGTGAGACAATCTGAAGCAGGCTCCAGGCTCCCAGCTGTCAGCACAGAGCCCGACATGGGGCTCCAACTCAGCAACTGTGAGGTCATGACCTGAGCTGAAGTCTGACACTTAACTCACTGAGCCACCCAGGCACCTCTGTATGTACACATTTCTAGAAATATTTCTGTACATAGCCATCTGTAGCTAGGGTAAGCTAAACTGGAGTTCCTGCTGATGCCTCCAGGGTGAATTCACCACCTCAGGAATCATTCTAGACTCCTCCCTTCTTCCCTGTAATCTCTCTTGCCAACAGGAGAAGTCTGGCTCTACCACCCACATGATTTGCTTAATTTTGATCTGTATTGTACACGCTTAGGGTTTTCAGAGAGGACAGCCAACACCCCCATGGGAAACAGCTGTAGAACGAAGCGGCTCTTTTTCGTTCCTTTGTCTTAGACTCCATTCATTTCCAGAGTGACTTGGGTCAGTGTGTTTTTCTACTATCGTCACAGAGGCTTCTTCTTACATTTGTAACACAGTTCGATTGTTTTGTCACATTCTGCATTCCAGTCCGGTGTTACAAAATCATGCATCTAAAAGATTCATTCGAAGTGCAGGACATACCGATGGGTATTGATGTGACCATTAGGAAACATTTATGGATGTTGTTTCAGATGCCATATTACAACTGTTGAGAAACTACCATCTGTTCAATTTTGGTTTCAAAAAAATACTTTTAATTGAAAAGACAGTTAAAATGTTCCTCTCATTTCCAATTACAATCTGTGTGAGACTGGGTTTCTTCATATTTTTCAATCAAAACAACATATTGCAATTTCAGTGAATGCAAAATCTTGCTATCTTCAATTAAGCCAGATTTTAAAGAGATCTGGAGAAATGTAAAACCATGCCATGCTTCTTGCTACACTTCATTGCTTTGAAGAACATTATTTCTTCATAAAAATGTTAACATGTGGAAGTGCCTGGGTGGCTCAGTCTGTTAAAAGTCCAACTCATTTGATTTCAGCTCAAGTTATGATCTTATGGTCATGTGATCAAGCCTCATGTTGGGCTCTGCGCTGAGCATGGAGCCTTCTTAAGATTCCCTCTCTCCTCTCTCTCTCTCTCTCTTTCTCCCTCCTCTGCTTGAGCTCTCTCTAGCTCTCAAAAATAAATAAACATTAGAAAAATGTTAGACATTGGGGCGCCTGGGTGGCTTAATTGGTTAAGCGTCTGACTTCGGCTCAGGTCATGATCCTGCGGTTCATGAGTTCCAGCCCTACGTTGGGCTCTGGGCTGACAGCATGGAGCCTGGAGTCTGTCTTCAGATTCTGTGTCTCCCTCTCTCTCTGTCCCTCCTCCGGCTCATGCTCTGTCTCTGTCTCTCAAAAGTAAATACACGTCAAAAAGAATTTAAAAAAAGAAAAGAAAAATGTTAACACATTGTGTGTTTTTGTGGTTATTTAAAAATGAATAAATTTTTAAAAATTTTGTCAGTTTTCACATCTATTATGGTAACTATAAGCACAACCCACATAAAAGGTCTTTGGAGTCTTCAATAAATTAAAAACATTTTTTTAAATAGTTTATTTTGAGAGAGAGAGCGAGAGCAGAGAGAATCCCAAGCAGAGTCTGCACTGTCAGTGTGGGCTCTCACAGCCTGTGAGGTCATGACCTGATTTGAAAGCCAGTGGGATGCTTAATCAACTGAACCACCCAGGTGCCCCTGGATTGTAAGTGACTCAAAGAGGTTTCAAGACAATTGCCCTAGGGTAATTTAGCTGGTTCTGACTTTATTTACAATGAATGAGAGCTCATAGACTCTTGAAGATAGATGTTCATGTGTAGACTTTAGCCCAGTCGACATGCAAGTCATTTGTATTCAGTAGAAAAAGTAACCTATGGTTTCATTATTTTGTAGGACACTGTCCAGCTTTGTATCCAACCTAACGATTTTACTCGGTTTCCTTGAAGGGTTTATGAATACCCGGTTCCTGCCAGTGCTCTTGGGACCGGCTTTACCATATTACTGGTTACTTGGTTAACTCTATATAGTTGAGTAACACCTCTGCTCTGGCGTGTGTTCGTCGGGTACTTGCGTGAAGATTAGAGTAACTGACACTGCGGACACGATGCACGCCGCGTGTACGTATACAGATTATGCCACACACGCGTCCACACATCACTCCCGGCTCCGAAAGCCGGACACAGACACCGCTGGCCCCATCCCCACCAACCCTCCAGCTGCCCGGGCAGGCTCCCTGCAGGCCTGACGCGGCGCCCCGCCCACCTCGTGACGACACCCGGGCTGAGGTGACGTTGCCAGAACGCACCTCTTCCGCCCGCTTGCAACATGGCCGCCGGGCGCTCTCGGTCCCGCCGTCCCGGGCCTTCTCGCCCCTAGCAGCCACTTCGGGGCCCACGTCCGCCCCTCGGCGAGGCCGCCCGGGAGGCGGTGGCGGAGCCTGCGGCGGGGACGCTCCGCAGCCACCCAGGCCGGCCCGACCGCGGGGGGCCGAGCGAGGGCGGACCGGAAGTCGCGCCGGGCCGCGGAGCCGTTACCGCAGCGTGCCGGAAGTGGCCGTGGGCCGGCGTTCGGGCCGCGCCCGCAGTGAGCAGCGTCCCTCCGGCCGGCGACGCCATGGAGCCCGGGGCAGCCGAGCTGTACGACCAGGCCCTGCTGGGCATCCTCCAGCACGTAGGCAACGTCCAGGACTTCCTGCGCGTGCTCTTCGGCTTTCTCTACCGCAAGACCGACTTCTACCGCCTGCTGCGCCACCCGACCGACCGAATGGGCTTCCCGCCCGGGGCGGCGCAGGCCCTGGTGCTGCAGGTAACGCGGAGAGGGCAGCCCGGGGCCGGGTGGGGGTGGGAGCGGCGGAGCCCACCCACTCCCGGCCTCAGTTTCCCCCAGGGCGCCTCCCCGGACCCGCCTCCCGCGGCCGTGCCTGCGAGTAAGCTGAGGCGCTGCTCAGGTGTCGAGTTACTGTCCCGCGGGACGGGGCCTGGCCCGGCGCTCGGGGTGCTTGGAGGTGCCAGGGCGGCCTGGCAGGGAGGGGGGCCGAGCGGGCCGCCCCGCGGACACCTGCGCGCCCCACGAGCACGTCGCGTGGAGGCGGGAGCGGGGCAGCGGAGTCGGCGGTGCGAGACCCGTGTTCGCAGTCTTTCTCCGCTCACGTGTGGGCGAACTCGATGCGCGCTGGAGGGGCGTGGAATTCCCCTGGTGCTCAGGAGCGTCCTGGGAAAGTTTAATTTGATGTGGCAGATGAGGGTGCCATTTCAGCAAGGTTAGGTGATTTGACCGAACTCATCGCAGAGCTGGAACTCAGAACTTCATCTTTATGATTCCAGGTCTTTCCATAGTAGGGCGGGAGAACTTTTGTTTAGGGTGATGGTAGCTTGCAGAGAAGATGTGGAGAAGAAAGGAACGCTTACTGGGCAGCGGGTATGTACTGGTTAGCGTGTAAGGTGTTACCTTATTTAATCCCAGCATCCTGAAAAGGTGGTCTTTGCCCTTATTTCACACAGGACCTGACAGAGGTAATTCATTTTCCCGGTAATGAGGTATAAAATATGTCCAGACCTGGTGAGCGGCCTAAAGAAGAGGAGGGAGGAAGGGAGGAGTCAGAGATGACCTGCGGTTTCAAACCTGGAATAATGATGATGCACTAATGGAACTGGCCCGAGTTTACGGGGAAAAGCTTAGTTTCAGACAAGTTTGAATCTGCGATTGCTGACAGAAGTCCCTGCTCGCAGGCTCTGAAACCATGGGACTGGGTCTCTCTGGAGATGGAGGGACCAGAGTGGTTTGCGGGGAGAAGAAGAGCTGAAGGTGGAGAGCAGCACTTAGGGGGTGACCCCAAGAGGGAGTCGGCAGGGCAGTACGCTTCCCAGAAACCCAGGGGGCGCCTTCTAGCAATGGTTAAGAAGAGAGTGGCGTTTCTGTGACTGGTTCCCAACAGTCGGCAGTGCCTGAGGAGCTTCAGAGATGCAGATGTGCCCAGGGCATTTTGTTGGGTCGATGGGGGTGAATCCTGGGGGTGGGGTACATTCTGGCCACACAACGATTTGGTGGGAGAGTAGTGAAGGTGAGTTTAGTGTTGGACTGGAGTTCTGTGGTGGGTGGGACCTTAAGATGCCGAGTCCGGCTGAATGACTTCCTGCGGCACAATGTTCCGTCCTGCTGCTGGGTGGTCCTCCTGAGCCCCCATCCCTGCTCTTTTGCCTCTTAGGGGGTTTTTCTCTGCACCTGATTTGCTGCTAGGAGACTCCTTCCTGTGGCCAGCCACCTGAGGTGGGGATTTGGAGGCTCTCCTGGACATGGGCAAGCAGGGCTTGGACGGAAATGCTGGGCACTCCATTCTGGAACTTGAAAGTTTCCTGATATTTTGAGGTTTGGACTGTTAGTGTGATGTCAGGCTTTCCTTCCTAATTCCAAGGGCTTGGCCGACTGGGTGGAGAGCTTGAGGGACGAGCTTCAGCAGGAAAGATGCACGTGGAAGTTGTGCTCCTTACCGTGATGTTGTAGTGTATTTTTTTAAAGTTTATTTACTTTGAGAGAGACCGAGCATGCATGTGAGAGGGAGGGAGAGAGAATCCCAAACAAACTCCATGCTGTCAGCACAGAGTGGGGCTTGGTCCCACGAACCCTGAGATCATGACCTGAATCAAGATTAGGAGTCAGATGCGCAACTGACTGAGCCACCCAGGTGCCCCTTTAGTGTGTTTTAGGAAGAAAATAGTTTATAGTGACGCTTCATTTGTCCAGGTTGGGTCCAGTTTGAGAAGCCTGCTTAGTAGAAGGTCCCTTACTTGCCCCAGAATCAGGAGAGCTGGCACCATCTGGTCCTCACTGGACCTGGTGGGAGGGTTCTCTCCTCTCTGTCAGTAGAGAAGTGGATTGGAGGTCATAGACCTCTCCTCCAGCTCCACGGTGCTCTGGTTGTACAGTGAGCGCCCAGGTCCTCAGCGACCCGAGCAGCAGAGAGGGGAGGCAGGTGGCAGGCTAGAGGAGGTGGGGTGCTGAAGCAGCAGAGGCGGTGGACACGGCGAGGATTACCAGGCCCAGGGGCAGGGCGGTCCCAGGGGGTGAGATGACAGTCCTTGCTGCTGCTCTATTTTGTGGAGTTGGGATGAAGGTCTGGGGCGTCTGGGGGCTAAGTGGCTGGGAAGGCGAAGTCAGGTGTCGTACGCATGGCTGTGAGATGTTGTCGGGCTCAGCTTCTCTGAAGGAGTAGAAGTGGGTCTGGAATTGTGGCCTGGTTTCAGCCTTAGGGTTTCACTCTTTCTCTGCCGATGTGGCCTTTGGACGTCAGCGTCCTTGTATAATTTTTACTCTCCTCCTCTTTGACTGGAAGGACCTGGGCAGGGAACTCACCTCCGCTGAGCTTAGTTTTTCCTTTTGTTTGAAATGTCAGTGCTGTCTTCCTCACGGCATCTTCTGGAAGGTTTTGGGGGAATCTGAAAGCATTTGGCAGAGTTCAGTGGTTAGAGACCTTTTGTTTTGTCTTCCTGTTCGGTGCACGGAACATGATTATTTAACGTGTGACTGCTTCTGAACATTTTTTATGAGTAGTTTTCGGTTCAAGGCAAATCGGAGGGAAGGTACAGAGATTTCCCGTGTATCACTTGTCCCCATCCCCCCAAGCATCTGCACAAGATCGAGGCACCTGTGTTCCATGTCAGACCACCCAAACCGTAGTTGGCTTTAGGGTTCAGTCTTAGTGATGTTGTTTTGTGAGGTTGGGACAGATGTTTAACTGGTGTTTACACACAGAATATTTTTCACTGCCAGCAAAATCTACCACATTCCACTCCCTCACTCTCCCTCCTGCCCCACTCCTGGCAACCACAGGTCTTTTTACTTCCCCGTGGTTTTGTCTTTTCCAGAATGTCATGGAGTTGGAATCCTACAGAACATGCATGGGCTTTTCTGATTGGCTTCTTTCACTGTGATATGATTTAAGTTTCCTTCATGTCTCTTTACGGCTCCATAGCTGATTTCTTTCTAGTGCTCAGTGTTACTCCAGTGTCTGGATGGATCACAGTGTAGTATCTGTTCCCCTGAGGAAGGACTTCCGCTTGCTCCTGGGCTGTGGCAGCTGTGAATGAGGCTGAGGCTGCTGTGACACCTGCCTGTGGACGTGTGGGGAACAGGGCTGCTGCCTCCCCCTTGCCCCATGCTCTCCCAGCCCTCCTGCCTCCAGCCACAGGAGGAGCAACCCCTTATGGCCCCAGCCCTCAGAGCACTGGCCTTGCCTCTTGTGGCCCCCTGGACAACACGTGCCTTTTCTTCAAGGTCTGCTGGTAGCCCTTTCCTTCCAAGGAATTTCTTAGATTTCCAGGACCTGGACGTGCATCTATGCACCCACTGCAAGTACCGCAGGTGCTCCTCACAGCCTCTCCTGGTGGCGCTGTCGTGCGCGGGTCTGTGCTGGCCACATTCAGGGTTATGTGCGCCCTTGAAAGGTGCATACAAAATGCCACATTTCCTGTGCGCTTTTCGGGTGGAGAGTCCCAGCGCTTGTACGGGTGAGACTGTCCCAGAAAAGAGTAGGGGCTGAACCTCACACCAGAATATCGAGTTTGTAGAGGGTGGGAGTCATTGCTTGGATTTTTTGTGTTCCTTGCTCATTGTAGACCCAGCGTGGTTATCTGGGGCGTGAAATTCTCACGTTTTTTAAGAGCCACACCCCCTCCACCTCTGCAGTATGGGCAGACAGCTGCGCTCTGGTGGCCCTGCTGTACTGAGCGGGCTCAGCTCACTTCCCATCTTCTGAGTCTGAATTGTTGGCGGCTTTACAGCTTTTGATGCTAGGATGGTGTGCTCTTCCTGGGGCAAACGGGTCTCACCAGGGGCTGTCAGAAGAAATGAGGACAGCTCATTTAATTAAGTGCTTTTTTTTAGATTTTTAATTTTTTTTTAATTAAAAATATTTTTAAAAATGCTTTATTTATTTTGAGAGAGAGAGACAACATGAGCAGGGGAGGGTCAGGGAAAGAGGGAGACACAGAATCTGAAGCAGGCTTCAGGCTCTGAGCTGTCAGCACAGAGCCCGACATGGGGCTTGAACCCACGAACCGTGAGATCATGACCTGAGCTGAAGTCGGACACTTAACCGACTATGCCACCCAGGTGCCCCAGCTACGTGTTCTTTAGACCCAGAAGTTGGCTGCTCAGCACGTAGGTATCGTGAGCCTTGGTTACCAGGTTTCCCTTCTGTGCTCTTGGAACCTTGATACAGATTGCCCCTGGTGAAAATGAATGTGCGCCTTTTCCTAGGGGGAGCGTGTCTGTGGTCTTCCACTTTATCCATTCCCTACTTTCCAGGTTCAACCCCCTTCGCGTAGCGTGTGTGGCCCGGTACCGGGAGGGGCCACTCATGGCTGGCTTGCTGTTTGATCATAGGTGTTCACAGCCTTCGAGCACATGGCGCGCCAGGATGACGAGAAGAGAAGGAAGGAGCTGGAGGAGAAGGCCAGGAGGAAGGAGGCGGAGGAGGCAGCAGTGGCCACAGCCGAGCTGGAGCCAGTGCCGGCCGCGGGACAGGAGGTGGAAGTCGTCCCCAGCACGGACCCTGGGCCTCCGGGACTGCCGGGCCCCCATGAGGCCGAGGCGGCAGCAGCCCCCAGCTCGGCAGAAGCGGAGGCGGTGGAAGCGTGTGCTGGTGCTGCAGAAGCCGTGAAGGAGCCCCCAGCTCTTCCTAAGTAAGAGTTCCTACTTTGCGGTTTCTCTTTCGCTTGAAGTCCCGTGGGTGGTGTGGTCCGTCAGTGGTTCTCACTTGGTACCACACCGACCGTCTCTGTGGTGAGGTCTGCAGGCTGCGGTATGTTCCAGGAGTGTGCCCATGTGCAGCGGGGGGCCAGTCTGCTTCTGGCCTCCTGTTGTCCCCATAAGGCGGGGTCACGATCCGCCCTGGCTGTGCAGCCAGAGTGAGAGCTAGAGCCGGAATCAGAGTTCCGGGCTCCCAGACTCAATCTGGCTGTGTGGGGGCTTTGTCTCGGTGCCGTGGGGACACGCGCCCACTGTGCACCCAGAGCCCTCTTGGAGACAGCCGTGTCTCGTGTGTGGGGTTGTTGGCTCGCAGCGCTACCCGTGTCTTGGCTTTCTCCCCTCTGGAGCGGAGGTGATAACAAAGCACCTGCCTCACAGGCTGCTGTGTCTGTCATGTGAGCCGGGGGTCGTGCAGCCCGTGTGTCGCCGCGCCGGGATCCATCCCCGGACTATACTCTCCTCCCTTTCCAGGGGCTCTGTTTCCTGGCACGGGGCACAGGCTACACTGTGCGAAGATCCGGGGCCTCCTTTGTGGGAGCGAGGTGGCGGCAGTGTCTGCTCCTGGCCTCCTCTGTTCTAGCATGGTCCGCGCCCTCCCACATGGTCCCGTCTCTGCCCTAACCGTGGTGCGGCTCCTCCCTCTCGTCACTCTCTGCCCCTAGTGAGAGGTGCTATGAGCGGAGCTCCTCGGGAATGGTAATGAAGCAAGCCAGACAGCCTGCAGCGACACAGAATGAGATTAGCTGGGTGAGACCTGGGGTCGTAATGGCCACGCTCGGTGGTGGGGCTCACAGTCAGCCGCAAGCCCGTTGAGGAAGACGAGCAGGTCTCGAAGGTGGATCTCAGGTCAGAAAGGGGCAAAATGGGCCCTGGAACCCGGAAGTGGGAGGGGTCTCGGCAGAGAGTCATGAGGTCTGGTTGTTTCCTTGCTCCTGAAGAGCTTTCTCTCATGTTCCCTGTAGTGCTGGTCTGCTGGCGATGAATTCCGTTAGCTTTTGTTGGTCTGAAAATGTCTGTCTTTGGTGCTCCTTTCTGAGGGTATTTTTGCTGTCTGTAGAATTCTAGATTGATACTTTTTTTTCTTCAATGTTTTAAAGAGTGTCGTTCTGTTATTCTGTTGTCTTTTGATGAGAAATGAGTGATGTTCTTTGTTCCCCTTTATGGGTCCCCTGTCCCGGGTGTTTTTAAGGTATTTATCATTAGTTTCAGGATCTGATCACAACCTGCTGTAGTGTGTTCTCCGTGTTTGTACCCTGGGGGCTTCCGAGCTGCCTTCTGCCTCTGTTGCACTGACCCCCTCATAAGACTGTGCCTCCTTTAGAGCAGCGTCTAACACGCTGTCTTCACATTGACTCATTTCTCCTATAGTGTCTAATCCTTAGTTAAATTCATCAGTACACTTTTTATTTTCCAGCTTTGCAAAATTCCTGTTTATTTTTTTTTAAGGCCTCAATCTTTATGGTCATTGTTTTTTTCTAAACATACTTCATATCTTATATATCTTGTAAACATGATAGCTGTTTTAAGTCTTCATCTGCCAATTCCGTCATCTCTTAATTTTTCGGTTTGTTGCAATTGGCAGTTTGCTGTTGTTTTCTCCTGATTTGGGGTTATATTTTCCCGCTTCTTGACATATCTGGTAATTTTTTACTGGATGCTTGATATTGTGAATGTTATGTAGCTGCATCTCTGGATGTTGTTTTCTTCCTCTAGAGAGTGCTGAGTTTTGTTGTCACCATTTTTTTTTTTAAGTTTATTTATTTAAGAGAGAGAGAGAAAGAGAGAGTCCCGAGCAGGCTCTGATGCAGGGCTTGATCCCACAAATTGAGATTGTGAGATTGTGATCTGAGCTAAAACAGAGTCAAGGACCCTTAACTGAGCCACCCAGGTGCCCCCGTCCTCACGGTTACTTATCACAGATCAGTACGATCTTTCAGAAGTTTGTTTTTCAGCTTTGTTGGGGGTGTGTCTAGAGTACCTTTTATTCCAGGGCTAGTTCAGTTCTCAGCAGCGTCGCATTTGAGGGGCGCTCGGTTCCCAGGAGCTGTGTTCCCTCCCCATTGGGGTTGCACTCATGTGGGGACAGTTGACCGTTTGGCAAAGACTCAGAGGGACCCTGTGCAGTTTCTGAGTTCTTTCTGTGTGTAGCTGCCTTCTTCCTGTGGTCTTTGCCAGGAAGCAGACACCTGCAGTGTTTGGGTATTGGAGTGAAGACTGAGCGTATAGAGTTACTCACTTCAGTTTTGGGTAATCTAACATTACTTGTTTCAGGAAAACTTTGGGAGAGTCCACATCGTCATTTAGGGAAGGGCCATATACGTTTATAAGTGGTCTTGAAAGGTGACTGATGTGGATGTCGTGATGGTTCATGTTATGTGGCAGCCTGGTTGGGCCTCATCCCTGGGTGTCGCTGTGAGGGGTTCCGTGGAGGTTGGCGGCATCCGTAACCAGTGGCCTTCGGGTGACCTGAGTGGGTCTCACCAGTCATTTGAAGGGCACCGAAAGCAGAGACGAGCTCTCCCTGAAGCAGGAGAAATTCATGCCATGGAGGCAGCCCAGCCCCCTTCCTGGAGAGCCCGCTTGTGGCCCGCTGGCTGCTGGGCCATGTGAGCTTGTTCCTCGCATGGCTCTCGGAGTGTGCTGCTGGTCGCGTCTGTGGGTGAACCCTGCTGCGCACACACGCTCCTGTCATGTAGTGTCGCATTAGGAAAGTAGTTCTCAGAGTGATGGTGAATGAAACCTGTGAGGTTATATGCATGCAGAAGACAAAGCCTGGAAGGAGATAAATGGTGAGTCCTGGTTGGCAGAGTGGTGGTTTGGGTTTTTATTATCATCTTTCCCCTCTTAGTGTATTTTCTAACGTTCCTACAAAACGCGTTCTGTTTTACTGACTGTTTTATTGCATTAAAAAAATAATTCCTAAAAGCTTATTAAAAGAGGGGATTTGTTTTTGATTTCTGGCTTAGGGCTAGAATGGCTGCCTCTGTCTTGTCAAGACCCTATTTTTCATTTTTTAAAAAAAATTTTTAATGTTTTATTTCTTTTTTTTTTAAATATTTTTTTTATTTATTTCTGGGAGAGAGAGAGAGAGAGACAGTGTGAGCAGGGGAGGGTCAGAGAGAGAGGGAGACACAGACTCTGAAACAGGCTCCAGGCTCTGAGCTGGCAGTCAGCACAGAGCCCGACGCGGGGCCCGAACCCACGAACCGTGAGATCATGACCTGAGCCAAAGTTGGACGCTTAACCAACTGAGCTACCCAGGTGCCCCAAGACCCTGTTTTTCTATCCTTGAACTGACACGTTGTATTCTGGGCTAGAATCAGCGTGAGTTGTTCGAGTTGTATGCCGCTGTGGGTACAGAGAGAAGACTGGGGTGTTCTGGCAAACCTTGGGCTTGTGCCGAGGGACCAACCCTCCCAGGGATGGGCACCTTCTCGGCCTTTGCGTGCTAACTGGCTTTCCATGAGCAGACCAGGAAGTTGTGGCTGCCACATCTCAACGCAGTGGAGCCACAGCGCTGCGGCAGACCCGGGGAGGGAGTGGGAAGCCACCCTTCTCCCTGCTTTGCATTAGTGGCACCCCGCATCCATCCAGTCAGTGCCCAAGATCGTTTGTCCTATAAACTGTAGCCCTCTGGGGTTCTGCTGAGTAGTGTGACCACACGGAGCCCTGCCCAATGTGGGCTGTCTGTCCACAAGCCTGTCACCTGCAGTCTGGTTCTGAGCTGGCTGATTTGTGCTCTTTCCATTTGCCCCCCCCCCGTGCTAGCAGTCCTGGCCAGTAGTGGCAGTGATGATAGCAGACATTTCCTTCTCTTGTCGGGCAGGAAAGACACACATACACTTAGTGAATTGAACAGATTCTGCATAGGCACCAGGGAAAAACCAAGTAAGACATCTGTATGTCGTGCGCGTGTGTTTGTCATCAGCCGTTGGTTGTGGACTTGCTGGGATGTAGTTTACCCCACAGCACAGCTTGGTTGTTGGCTGTAGTCCTGACTTGTGCCAGTGTGCCCTTGTGAGCACCATCCTGCTCCAGACAGGGTCCAGCCACCATACCCGGGCCTTGCCAACCATGCTCTGTTCTCTTTTATAGTTTTTTTTTGTTTTTGTTTTTGTTTTTAGTGTTTGTTTATTTGTGTGAGTGGGGAAGGGGCAGAGAGAGAGGGAGACACAGAATCCAAGCAGGCTCCAGGCTCTGAGCTGTCAGAACCCATGAACTGTGAGATCATGACCTGAGCTGAAGTCGGACCCTTAATGGACTCAGTCAGCCAGGCGAAGGGTCTGTTTTCTGCCCCAAATTTTTTGCAGTGTATGTTTTTATTTGTACATAATTGCATACTGATTTTCATATTAAAGCCACGTGTATAGTTTTTTTTTTTTGGTGAACGAGGAGTTATTTGAGGGAAACTTGAATTGGATCTAATTTTCCTGTGGTTGTCAATTTCATTCTTGTTCCTGCCCCACTGTCATTGTCAGGACCTTTCCAGTGAAGTTCAGGAATGCCTGTCCCCGCTGTGTAAAGTGCTCAGTTTTGTTCCTTAGCAGAGAGATGGCGTCTGGAAGCACAGATGTCCCTGTGCACACAGCTTACCGTTGAGAACATGCCTGTGTCTGCAGGGAGTGTCCACAGTGAACGCCCTGGAGGAAGTGCTGCAGAGTCTTTGCTCAGCCCCATGACCCGGGCTCAGAGGACTCCTGGAGTGCTGGGCAGCTTTTGGAAATGCCTCCCCATGTCACTGGTGCTGTGGAAGGAACAGGGGCAGAACCCAGGGGCATCAGAGGCTTGAGAAACCTCTCTTGAAGCTCCAGGGGCTCCCCTCTTAACATTCTGGGTCTGGGATGTCCTGCAGCCCCCCTCTTGGCTGGCAGGTGGCGCTGTAGGTAACACAGTGATGTTTGCTGCATGGGCTAGTGTTGGCCAGCCTACCAAA